CGACGCCTACTGAAGATAAAGAAGGCTGGTGCAAAGGTTGCAGGTATTGTTAACACTAACTTGCGGCCCACTGTCATGTACGGCATTGATGTCGCTGGTCTATCTACTCAGCATATTCGCCAGGTTCGTGCTATATACCACGCTGGTCTCGGCACAGGTAAGCGTAGGTCTGTCACGATGGATTTGGCGTTGCACGGTGTTACCGACCCTGCTATTGACGCACATGCCGATGTTATTCGCCTCTGGACCGTCTCTAGATGGGACTCTCTTCTCCCCGTCGGAATGATAGACCAAGTGTTCCAGTTTGCCTGCGCCAAGGTGACGCCAGATACCCCGTGGACTGAATTACAGGGCCCAGGACAGATTTTGGTTGCCACCATGCTTAGAATTGGGTGGTCTGCGGTTTCGCCCACATTATGGCGAATTTCTCTTGGAACGGAGGTTGATATTTCGTCTACTTCCCGTCGTGAGGTGGTTGCACTAGTGATTCGCGACGCGTCTGTTTGGGCTTGGAAACAGGCCTCTGAGCGTCACCCATCCTTCAGTCATCTGTCTGGACCCCCTTTCCACCCCCCTCTTCTTTTTTTGTTGTCAGAAAAGACTGAAGGATGGGGTGTCCTCCAGCAACGCGCTCTGCGGACCCTTATACCTGGGGGCATATACTTTAAACCTACGTGCCCCATTTGCCAGGTTGTCCCTTCTGACCCCGTGTTTCACACCCTGTATGAGTGTGATGGGCTTGTGGAGTTTCGTCGTTGGTTCGGCCCGGCTCCTGCCCTCACCCGTTGCATAGAGCAGTACCGCGAGAACCCTGTCTGGACCACTGCCATGGTTCCCGACCCGCGCTATTGCTCCCTGCTGGCACCACCTTTCCCAGACCCTGTCTGGGAAGGGGCCGCAGAAGGCCCCTTTTTCTCGTCGCCTGCGTACGGAGACGGCTCGGGAAAGCATGGTCCCTCGCCGCTCACTCTCCGTTGTGGATGGGGCGTTTGCTCATTTGCTCCGAGTGGTCGAACTGTTTTTGGTGAGCCCGTCGCCAATGATCGGCTTCGGCTTAGTGCTGGTGCCTACGGCGTATATCCATTTCTCACCCAGGATGTTTCAGGGGCTGAGCTTTACGCGTTTTTGTTTTATCTAACCCATGCTGCCCCCTTCCGACTGCTATGAGTTTGTCACTGATGCCCAGTATGTCGCCGACGGTTGGGCAATGGGGTATGAAGCTACCACGCACGGATGGGCCACTCACGCATCCTTGTGGGTCCGTGTCCACCGTGCGGCTTCAGATATCGGGTATCACCTAATTAAGGTCACCAAGGTTCGTGGCCACTCTTCCTCTGTGGGTAATAAGCAAGCCGACAGACTTGCTAACCTAGGTGCAGACCTACACACTCTGGACACGGTACTGCACGACCGTATCAAGCGCTCTGGTGTGCTGGTGCGCAATCTTGGTGTGTATATCGGTCACTGTATAGCATGGATTTTTAAGAATGTGCCCAAAAAGGCCTGGGCGGCGGAGTCTGATGAGTCCCCTGCCCCCACGGCCCCATCCCTAGTCCTCTCTGGTGCCTCCTCTGGGGCCTTGCATGAGCACTTGTGGGACCCCTCAGCGGGTCGTTTTCGTTGCGTGAATTGTTGGGCTAGTTCAGTCTCCAAGAGCTACTTATTGCGTTCGCAGTGCTCTTCTCCCACTGGTGGTGGGCACGTGCTCAGGCGGCTAAATAATGTCATATTTTGTCGACGATGTCTCCGCTACTCTTGCAAGAAGGCAGTTGATTTAACTAAATCATGCACTGGGCCCCCTCGGGCCTCTGGCACCATCTCACGGCTTCGGCGCATGTGTGATGGTCGTGACCCCCGCGCTGATCAACCAGTCGGTGAGGTAACTGCGGTTGGCAACGTCAACGTTATATATGCGTTTCTTGCCCCTCACGATGTCTTTAATTTTCAGGCATTGTTTGATCCTGCATGGCTTTTAGAGGCTCCGTGGATTTCTCGGGCTTCGGAGGAGGGGTGGATGTATCCTGGGTTATCTGGTTTGTCTCGTCTGTCTGATGCTGGCAGGACTACTCGGATCCCCGACACCAGCCGCCAGCTGTGTTGTTCTGCAGTACTCCCTTTCCTGGCCGCTACAGAGGACAGGTTCCAGGAAGTAGGGTAGGCTTGGGATAAGTGGGTACAGAGGCGCTGAGAAGCAGGCACCCGTTCCGCCTGCGCCCACTTATCCCGTCTGCGCTCGTGCCATCCACCCCCTGGCCAGGCTCGCAAAGAGAGAAGACTCTCGCCTGCCCGCCGCGCGGGGATTTTGCACGCCTCTTTGCACGCCTCTCTGTCTATGCTTTCTTTCTTACAGTTGGATGCCGGACAGTAGGGTAGGATTGGGATAAGTGGGTACAGAGGCGCTGAGAAGCAGGCACCCGTTCCGCCTGCGCCCACTTATCCCTTTTGTCCTCTTGTCATTCCTCCCCTGGCCAGGCTCGCAAAGAGAGAAGACTCTTGCCCGCCCGCCGCTTGGAGATGTTGTGCACGCCTCTCTGTCTGTGCTTTCTCTCTTACAGTTGGACAGTCGGACAGTAGGGTAGGCTTGGGATAAGTGGGTACAGAGGCGCTGAGTAGCAGGCACCCGTTCCGCCTGCGCCCACTTATCCCTTCTGTGTTCTCGTCATTCCTCCCCTGGCCAGGCTCGCGAAGAGAGAAGACTCTTGCCCGCCCGCCGCTTGGGTTTTTTTTTTGTTCTGTGCATGCTTCTCTGTATATGCTTTCTCTCTACAGTCGGACATAGGCTAGGCTTAGGATGAGTGGGTACAGAGGCGCTGAGAAGCAGGCACCCGCACCGCCTGCGCCCACTCATCCTTTATGTGCTCCTTTTGCCCCCCCCCCAGCCCAGGCTCGCGAAGAGAGGAAGGGCTCTCCGCCGCCTTGCTGGTCTGTTGTATAATGCGCTGCCTGGCAGGTTGAGGCTGGAAGCCCAGGAGCCCAGCATCGCGTGTTTCGGGCCCTCGATTTTTCGTTGTCCCTGTTTGCTCGGGTCGGTCCCTCGCTCGGCTCTGTTCGGGTCCTGGTCCGTCCCTCGCTTCTTTCGGCCCTTCTTCGGGCCCCTCGCTCGTCGTTTCGGCGCCACGGGCAGGAGTGTTCGGCAGACGATCGCCCGCGCGCAAATCAAACCCTCTCACTTTTGCACGCCCCTCACACGTTTCGCGGCCCCGTGGGGAGCTCCACCTAAGGACCCAACGGTGCAGTTCGCATGTCGGCGCTGCCCCATTTTGGCACACACACACACTCACACGTTTTCGTGGCCCCATAGGGAGCTCCACTCAACGTCCCACTGGTGCAGTCCGCATGGCGGCGCCGTCCCATTTTGGCACACTCCTCACACGTTTCGTGGCCCCACAGGGAGCTCCATCTAAGGTCCCAGTGGCGCAGTGCGCATGGCGGCGCCGCCCTATTTTGGCACACCCCTCACACGTTTCGTGCCCCATAGGGAGCTCCACCGAAGGTCCCAAGGGTGCAGTTTGCATGTCGGCGCCTCCCCATTTTGGCACACCCTCACACGTTTCGTGGCCCCACAGGGAGCTCCATGCAAGGTCCCAGTGGCGCAGTTCGCATGGCGGCGCCGTCCCATTTTGGCACACCCCTCACACGTCTCGTGCCCCACAGGTGGCTCCACGTAAGGGCCCCATGGAGCAGTTCGCATGGCGGCGCCGCCATCCCAGGGTGCCCCCGAGCTGCGGCAGAAAAAGGAAAGAGGGAGGGGTAAACGGAGCAGGCCACCAGTGCGAGAGTGAATCTCGACCAGCGCTGCGGCACACTCCGCGCGCGCGCAGCGGAGCTACACCCTGCGAGCGGGCGTCCTGGGACGGGGCCCAAAACGACACCCGCCCGGGGACGTCCTGGGCAGCTGGGGGACGTCCTGGGCAGTTGGGGGACGTCCTGGGCAGCTGGGACGTGCGGCTGTTCGGCGCAAGCTGAGCGGCCGCGGGCAGGCATGCCAGTGCCCCACCCCCGTGCGGCGTCTAGAGGGGTCTAGAGAGTCGCTCAGCGGCATTCGGAGACGGCCCTTACCTCCATTGTGGGGCAGGGGCGTGCACGGACGAGGGCTTTGCTCAGTCGCTGGCGGCCAGAGAAGGGCCTGCCGTTGAGACTCCGGGTTTGGGATCCCGGGCCCGCTGGTGGAGGGGCTGGGCGACGCGCCGGGTTCCTTTGCGCGCGGGGTTCCTTGACGCTTCGTGCCTTCCTCCCTGCGCCCCAATCTACACTGGTTGTGCAGTGATCTGCCGACGCCTGGTTGCTGGCTCCCCTTCCGGGGGGGGATCCTGGGCATAAGGCGCGCGGATCCCCGCCGGCGTGGTGCGGCTCGCGCAGGGGATGCCGCTGCGGAGGGGGATGTCCCGTGTTGCGGGGGGTTCGGTTCGTCGTCGTCTTCTTCGGGGGGCTCGCCCAAAGCTGGCTTGTGTAGCTTAATTCCCGCTGGCACCGAAGCGTGTCCCTTACATGACTTTTCAGCGTGACAACTGATATCCGTCACTGCGGTTGGCAACTTGGCAACCGCCTTCGACTCTGGAGGGGACTTCCTTCCCCCTGGCACACAGACGAGGGCCAGGACCACTGCGGCGGCCAGTAGTCTCCTCCTCGGCTGCTGGTCGCCCTGCCTGGCTTTGTTTCTGGATTCCGGCGAGGTTTTTGCGTGGCCGGGTTCATCCACACCTTTAACTGTTTTATTCGCGCTTCGCGCGAGGGCGGCTAGGCGTCGTACAGCCTGCTCGCCTTCAACACCTTCCTACGACACCCGCCCGGAGATCGGGGGACTGGCACTGCGAAGCAAGAGGAGTTTCCGCGTCACTGTAGAGGAGAGCAGCCAGGGGAAAGGGAGACGGACGACGCGACCAGACGACGCGACCGACGGGAGAAGGACAAGGAGCACAAGAGAAATGATGAGGGAGGTGGGGGCAAAGGGAAGTTCGTCCTCCTCCTGCCCCCTCGTACCGCCCCCTCCGCCGACGCAGGCGGCCGGCGAGGACCTTTGCTGTCTGCTGCGGCTGTGCGAGTTCTACGACGTGCGCCACCTGAAGCAGTGGGCGGAGCACCGGCTGCAGGCTCCCCATCGCTTCGCTTTTGTTGAAGCGGGCGCTGCGTCGAAGGACGCCGAACGGGCAGTTTGTCGAAGGACGCCGAGACGCCCCAAGAGTCCGACTCCGAGCCGCCGCCTTCAGTCACCACTGCTACGCGCGAAGCGCCTGGGCTGGGCTCTCATCGTCTTGCTCTTTGCTGCAGCCGGGGGCGGTCAGGAGGGGTTGAGGACTGAAGAGTGTGGATGTCGTGGCCAGGGCCGTGGTGGCTGCCCGACGTCCTGGGCCTTTCTCTTTCAACACGACCCCTGGTGCCCCCTCTGGGCCGCGCGCGTGCCTCGGGCCATGATTTGCAAACGCCCCTCTTGCCCCCCCCCCCCCCCCGTCTCGGACGCACCCGATGCAGCGGGTAGCTCGTCGAAGGATGCGGGCAAGCCTGTGACAAAGATAGCTCGATGTCGAAATGTGAGTCTTGATCCCCCACTGATCCCACCGATACCCCCACGATCCCCTCGCTGCCACGGCTAGATTCGCTTCGGAAGCCTGGCCAGAACGCACCCTCGGAGAGGTCCAGGGCTTGGCGGTGTCGGTGCTTTTGTGTCGGCACCTACCCGCACAGCGCCCCCAGGCTGCAGGCTATCCCGCTTCTCCCCCTTTCATCCTCTCATTCAAGCAGTGGCGAAACGTCCTGGCTCGCCTATAGCACGACCAAACAGTGTTCTAAGACCCTTTGAAGGTTTCCACGAAATGTTCTTAGAACCTTTCTGGCGGAGACTGTCTTGTTTTATCACATCGGGTTTACGTTCTAAACACAATATTCTTGTTATTAGAGCATTTGGGGGTTCTAAGAACATTTCGTGGTAGGACTATAGGAATGCCGGGATGGTCGGTCCCTGCCCAACTCTCATGGGCAACGACACGGGGATTGGTCCTGGTGCAGGGGAAACGCACCGACCCCCAATCGCCCATTCATCGCCGGTAGGGGCCCGACGGATCACACGACCCAGGAACAACCGGATTCGCTACCGGGCCCCAGTCGCCGATCTATCGGCGACGCATCGCCGATGGCAGTTCGAAATTCCAACCCCGGAGCCAGCCCCCTGTCGTTGCCCTGCACCACCACCTCATCATCTCTCCCTCCTGTTCGACCCCGGTGTCCCTCTCGCTGCGGTGCCTGCCTACATCTACTCCCTCCCAAGAGCGCGGTCGGGCTGTCAGCTTCGGGAACGGATCTGGCTCGCCACCACCAACAGCAGCAATCATACAGTCCGGGGTCTTGAGGAAGGGGACGTCAGCAGACGGCAGCTCGCTTCTGCCGGGACGTTCAACGGTGGCATCGCAGACCATCTCTTCAATAGTGGAGTTTTCGCTGACAACTTTGGGAGCATAGGGGGAACATGATTTATTGAAGATGGGTTGACGATGTTGACAACGACTGGAGGCCAGGTGGACCAGAGTCAAAGAAAGGGTGTTGGATACACCGGGCGCCCACGCGATAGGAAGGAGGCATTCTTAATCGTCGCCTCAGCAGAACCTACCGAGGCCGCACAATTTTCAGCCAGGCGAGCCAGCAGAGTGAAATCTGGTTGAAGTTTGCAGTCTTCAGTTCTGTTTTCGGGTGCTGTTTCTAGTTTGCACCGTCTTCTGCGCGCCCGTGCTCGAACGAAGCCGTATCTGATACCCTTTCAAGAAAGTGCACCGCACCGTCTCGCGAGGGTTGGGGGCGATGGGCGCTCAGAGCGGATGTGCGTCGCGAGCCATCGGGCTTATTCGCGACGCTCCGCGCATTTCTGCCAGTCCATCCAAAAATATCACCAGGCGAGCTGCCCTGACCAGGGATGCGTAGCAGCACGCAGGCACTCCCTGGGGTTGAGTCGGGCCTGTCTCTGCACAGGAGAAGTCTTCAAACATAGTTCAAAAAATAGTCTGGGGATGATTTGTCTTATCATTTTTGATAAGTGTGGGGTATTCTTTATGTTTCACCCAACCTCCGCCTGTATGGGGACATTCAGGATGGGCAGCAACACACAGACACAATTAATCGTCGACTCCCAGGACGATATGGGAAACTATTGGAATTTGGGGGGAAGACGAAGCCCAGAACATATGGGGAAATATGGGGAATCCTGTCATTCGTGTGTATTTATGTGTGTGTGCGTGCGTGCGTGCGTGCGTGCGTGCGTGCGTGCGTGCGTGCGTGCGTGCGTGCGTGCGTGCGTGCGTGCGTGCGTGTGTGTGTGTGTGTGTGTGTGTGTGTGTGTGTGTGTGTGCGTGTGTGTGTGTCCCAGGGCCCCTTCAGGCATGCCCGACCTAAAGTCACTCCCTGGGAGCCTCTTCGAAGCCTCTCGGGGCTCCCGCGCGGCCCTCTTGGGGCCTCCCTCCCTGGGGCCATGTTGGATGCCTGTGTGTGTGTGTGTGTGTGTGTGTGTGTCCCAGGGCCCCTTCAGGCATGCCCGACCTAAAGTCACTCCCTGGGAGCCTCTTCGAAGCCTCTCGGGGCTCCCGCGCGGCCCTCTTGGGGCCTCCCTCCCTGGTGCCATGTTGGATGCCTGCTGGGGTTCTCTCGGGGCCCCCACGGGCCATCCTCGGCTCTCTCGGGGACCTTGATGGGGCTACTTTTACGTCGGGCCTGTGCCTCTGCAGGAGGAATATTCAAGAATAGTCGAAAAATAGTCTGGGGACGATTTGGGGATTATTGTTGGACTGTGTTTGAGCATGGTTTGACATGTTTTTAATTTTTCGTCCAAATTCCCCCTGTAGGAGGACACGCGCGACCTGACGCTATCCGGGACCACCGAGGTCAGCGATCAAAGGAGGAGGGTCGCCAAGTGAGCCCTCCCCCTCGGAGGCCGACGAGATGCCTCCTGGAGCCCTGATGGGGTGCGTGTGGGCGCTTTTGAGGCCGTCTTGGGCCCCCTCCGGGCCGCTCTTGAGGTTTGCGAGGGCCATTTTGTAGCCGTCTTGGACCCTCGAGAGCCCATCGGAAGCGAACACGCGAGAAGACAATCACACCTTGACTTCGATTGGTTTCTGAATGATTCTGGCCTCTCGGGGGTGTCTTAGGGAGGCTCCGTGGCCACTTGGAAACATCTAGGGGAGGTCTTGGGGCTGATCGGAGGCATGCTGAAAGCTGTCTTGAACAATGTTGGGCTATGCGATGTTGGAGGCCATCTTTGGCTAGCTGGGGCCCTCTTGGGGTCGTCTGGGGGACATCCTGGACCGCCCGGCGACCCGCGGAACGCTCCCTCCAGACCCAGGGGGAAGGGGTAGGAGGAGAGGGACCCCCCCGAGAGCAGGAGGAGGTTGAAGGCACTAAGTCGCTAAACCACCTTTGCCCGAAAAGGCTGGTGGGATTTGGTTGCAATTGTGCATGGCGGTTTCGTTTGTTTTTCCCGTCTGCCTCCTCCTCTTTCCTCCGATCCTTCTTTTTGCGTCGGAACCACGAACGATGCCCCAATCTCGCCCCTCGCGCGGGAGTTGCTGCCTGCACCTGCGGCGTCGCAGGCAGGCTGCCGCCTCGCACGCCCTCGTCCCTGCTTGTTCTTTCCTGTTCTTCCGAGGACGACGACGACAAAGGCGAGCGGGCTCGCGAGCAAAACTTCTCGAGGTTTTGCTTCGGGTGCGGGGTCGAGGTCGCTCAGGGACGTCAATTCGACGACGACGTTTCGGGGCGTCCATTTGGGCGGTGGTGGAGGCCCCCCCTTGCCCTCGCCTTTTCTTGTCGCCCTCCCCATCTCAATCCTGGCGTCGGGAAGCCAGAGTGGACGACACGTCGGCGCATCTGCCCAGACCCCGCCCCCGTCAAGGCACATCTCGCGCGCGCGTGGCGAACATCCGGTGACCGTCCCAGCGATCCGAAGCAGGCGTCCGAATCGCTCGCTCGTTGTCTGCCTCCCTGAACTCTGGAGGGTCCGCCTCGAGAGGCCCCCACAGTCAGTTGAAAAAGAGAGAGTCCGTCGTGAACTGAAAAATGGCAACTGCCATGGGTTGAAGAACGACACCCACAGCGTGTTGAAAAATAAAGGCGGCTTTCGTCGAGGAAACAGGACCCGCCACGCTCGAACGGGAGCCGACCTTCTTTTTCAATCGTCTTTTATCATGCAAGTTTTCACGCAGTTTTCCACTGGCCCACGGAGCCAGATTTTCACACCGCAGCGGCCCCAGTGCCGACGGCGGCGGACGTCCCCGAGCCCAGAGAGCAAGTCGGCCCCCGAGCGAAACTTGCCAGGCCTCGTCCGCTCACCGCCCCCGGCAGGCCGCCAGCGCAGGACGGGGTCTGGGCAGATGCGCCGACTCTCTGGCGCACTCTTTGCTGCACAGCCCCAGGAGGAAGACGGGGAGGGCAGTGCGCAGGGAAGAAGCAAGCAAGGAAAAGCGAACACGATAGCGCGCGAGGTGACCTCACACGTCTGATGCCGCGCTCGCGCGGCAACTGTTCTCCCCGACGCCAGGGCGTGTTGAGCGGCGTCGCGGTTCCGGAGCCACGAGGAGGAGGGGAGGAAGGAGAAGGAGACAGACGTGGAAGCAAATAGGAAACCGTTACGCACAATAACAAACGAATCCAGCCAGCCTTTTCAAGCCTAGGAGGTTCAGCGAGTTAGTGCCTCCAACCTCCCTCCTCCTGCTCTTTAGGGGGGAGGTGACACTCTCCTCCTAAGCCGCCTCCCGGGGTCTGGAGGGAGCGTCCCGCGGGTCGTTGGAAAATCCACGATGGTCGGGGGTGGACAGAGCCCCCACCCTGACACGTCGATTAGTGAATTGTCCGTTTTCGGTTCTCGAGAGGGCGCCGCGGCCGTCATTTTCCAGTCTTGCACCCGCAAGGTTTGGGCTCAAGGTCGTTGTCACTAAACCAGTTTTACTAAAGGGGTTTCTGTCCATCCCCGAGATGGCCCGAAGACGGCTCTATGAGGGCCCGGGTTGGCCAGAGATGGCCTCCAACATCGTACGTTGCATCCTATATATACGGTTCAATATAGTAATGTAGCTTCCGGCATGCCTCCAAGCAGCTTCAATGCCACCCGAAAGCGTTCCCGAGTGGCCGCGGAGCTTCCCACTGACTCCCCCGAGAGGCCATCATCACTCAAACGCAACGTGGCAGCACATGGTCGATTAATTTATCGCATGTCGGTTCCGATTGGTTCCACAGAGCTTAATGATGCCGTCAGGATGGCCTGAGCGAGCACCAAAAGGCGCGCAAGGCGGCCCCGAACGCGCCAAAAACCGCCCCAAGAGCGCTCCAAGATCGCCCCAATAGGGCCCAAGGGGCCATTATTCTGCCTCCGAGGGGCGGAGCGTAATTGGCCCCCCCCCCCCCCCTCTTTGATCGACGGCCTCCAAGATGACCCCAAAGTGGCCGCCACAAGCCTCCAAGAAGCCCCAACAGAGACCAAGAGGGCCCCACGAGGGCCCCAAGAGGGCATTCATGGCTTGCAAACTGGCTTCAAGAGGACCTCATAGCTCCAAGATGCCTCCGAACAAAATCCCAGAGCGTGACTGACTGCATGCTGCTACGCATCCTTGGTCAGCAGATCTCGCCTGGCGATTGATTTAGGATGGGTTGGTGGGGATGCGCGAATCGTCAACAACTGGCCATCCAAACATGGCTGAGCATCATTCGGACACGCATCCAACCAAACCAACAACGCCTCATGAGCCAAGTTACCATAATCGAACTCATGCGCTGGAGCCTGGCCGGGGAGGCGACGCAGCTGGCCGCGCACGTGTGATTGAACCATCGTTCTCAAACGCGCGGCGCAAAAATTCGCACTTATGGCTTGAACACGTTGTTTGTTTCACGTAGTGCTTTTCTTAAATTTCTTGAGATGACAAACCCAGTTTCTCACACTGTTGTTCCCCGACAGAGGCGCACACGACGCAGGAATTTGACACTGTCACCTTTGACGGCACAGGCGTCGAGCCACACGGATATTATAGGGAGACCATCATGTGAAATCGCCAGAAATTCGTTCCAGTGGAAAGCAGCTCCGCAGAGAAAGGAGGAGCCTCGACAAGTTTTCCATCAGATGGAGACGGTCCAGGTGACCTTATGCGGCGATGGGTGCGACCAACCGGCTGAAGCACGGGATCGGGTTCTATTACAATTCGCGGCACCTGCGTCCTTTTTACAGGAGATTGAATATTTGAGTGGACAACCATTAATTTTTTGTGGCCGATTACGACCGAGCGGGCAAGGTGGCGGTTTTCCAGGAGCGCGGCGAGGATGTCCCGAAGTCCGAGGACGAGGCACAAATATTTCTGGCGAACGTGAAGACTGTGCATGACACCCACAGGGTCACGTTAGAAGTTTACTGTTGAGAGGATGTGGAGTCTCCCAGATTGCAGGCCGCTCGCGGACCAATTGATTATCCTGCCGTGTGTCGCCTTTGGAGCCCTTGGGGCCCAACTTGGGACCCCTCAGGTTGTTCCTTAGGTCCTTTCGGGCCTTCCTGGGGCCCCTTCAAGACATCTCGTGGTCCCTTTTGGGACCTGAGCGACCCCATTGGGGAGTCTTGGGGCCCATTGGGCTAGCGACTTGTCACCACGACGGCCTGGTTGGTGTTCGATATCCGCCATACCTTGCTCCAGACAAAGGCCTAGATGATGAGGAGGAGGAAGAATAGCAGCAGCGAGCCAGGGGAGCAGTTATATATATATATATATATACACACCGGTTGTCGTGTCGCGTTGAACCAAGTTTCCGTCCAGTGACCGTTGTCACGTCCCGTGGCATCGCACGAAGGGAAGAAACAGGAAGATGCAGACAGCACGGAAAGCTAGTTTCCCGGTGGTGGAACTAATTGGCGCCGTTATCCTCCCCTCCTCCTCCTCCACTTCCTACTCCCATATTCCTCGTCCTCCTCATTCTCCCGCCCTTATTCCTTCCTCCCCCCGCAGCCCCCCAAGAGGATGTGCTGGCTTCCCTTCGCTCCCCCCCCCGCTCGGCCTCGGGACCCCCTCCTCCTGCTCCCTCCTCGCTCTGTTCCCCTCTTCCCGTCTCTCTTGTAGGCCGCTGCGCAGTTCTGGGGCACTGCGGAGCGGCCTGCACCAGGCGCGCCCGCCGCAGAGGCCGCCTGCATCGCTGCACCGATGGCACGCCCAGCTGGACGCCGTGCGCAGGCGCGGCGCCGCGGCGCAGCTGCTCGCGGCCTGGCGCAGGGCGCCAGTCTGCTCGCCACCCGGCGCCAGGCCACCCTGGGCGCACAGCCGGAAGAGCGCGGCCGCGGCCCGCGAACGCGCCGCCAGAGCACCTGGGCCGCGCCCTTTTGATTTGCCCTCTGGCTGCAGGTGCTGGCTGATGCCCCCCTCCCCTCCCTCCCCCTTCCCTTTGAGAGGGAAGGGGGCAGGGAGGCGGGGGGGGGCAGGGGCGGCGGGGAGGGAGAGTCTCCCTCCCCGCCGCCCCTGCCCCCCCCGCGCCTCGACCAGCAGCCCCTCCTCCTCGGCCCGTTGCCCCCTCCTCCACAAGTACACAATATGAAAATACTCTCCCACTTCCCCTGATGGCGTCCCGAAGATGGCCGACACCCCCCCGCGTACTGTTTTTTTACACACAGGATTCCCGGGAAACGGGTTTTCGCCTGCGTTTTTTCAAAATGCTGCTCTCGCTGAGGCGCCGGCCTCATTTCTGCTCCCGAATCGTTCCGAATCGTGCTCCCGCTGCAGCGTGGGCCTCATTTTCGGATCGGTGTTTGGCCTCCGTCGTTCAGGATGGCGTTCTCGCCCCAGCGCGGGCCTCTTTCTCGCGCGCCCATCCGCCCGCCACCACCGCGCCGCACCACCACCACCACCACCACCACCACCACCACCACCACCACCACCACCACCACCACCACCACCACCACCACCACCACCACCACCACCACCACCACACAACCACCACCAGCACCACCACCAGCACCACACCACCACACCACACCACACCACACACCACCACCACCACCACCACCACCACCACCACCACCACCACCACCACGCACACACGCACGCACGCACGCACGCGCACCACCACCCACTACGCACGCGCGCGCGGAGCCACAGGTCCGCTACGACACGCGTCCGCGGATAGAGAAAATCAGCGCCATGGTAAGGGATGGGAGGAAGGGGTAGGACGTCAGATATGACGCGAGCGCACCTAGCTTGCCTCCCCCCCCTCCCTCCCCTCCCCTCTCTTTCCCCCGGCCTCCCCTCCCCTCCCCGGCCAGCAGCTGCTGACCCCGGAGAACCTGCTCGCGCTCTCCACGCACGCCTACTTCTGCCGCGCGCATCGCCCCCAGCGCGCCCACCGTCGCTCAACTGCGCCGCGCGCCGCCTCGCGGCGGGGGGACGGCGGGAGGGGGAAGACAGGGAGGAGGGAGGGGGGTGGCAGGGAGGGAGGGGGAGGCACGCTGCGGGCTGCGCGCAGACCCCCCCCCCCCAGGTAGTCTTAAGTCGGGCGTGTCCCTTTACAGGAGGGACTTTCGAAAACAGTCCAAAAGTAGCCTGGGGACGATTCTCCTAGCACTTGGGAATGCTATGTTTGCGCACGCTTTTGTGGGGTATTTTTGATTTGTCCTCCAACATCCGCCTGTGGGGGGACATGCCCAACCGAAATGTCGTCCCAGCAGGCCCTCCTCTGAAGGGGCCCTGGGACACACAAATATATACACACAAATAACCAGATCCCACATATTTTCCCATATCTTCTGGGTTCTTGTCTTCCCCCCCACCTCCCATATTTTCCCATATGTTCCGGGGAGTCGACGATTCACTGTGTCTGTGTGTTTCTTTCTCTCCTGATCCTGTCGGGCCTGTCCCTCTACAGGGGGAATATTCAAAAATTGTCAAAAAGTAGTCTGGGGACTATTTTTGACTATTTTGAGGCATCTTTTGAGTATTTCTTTTTTCGTTCGCCGAAAATCCCCCTATATGGGGGACAGGCCCGACCGAAACGTCGTCCCAGCAGGCCCTCCTCGAGCAGTCTGGGGCGCCGCCGCCCTCGGCGGCGCGCCCCCCCGGGGGCGGGGCGCGCCCCGGCCTCTGCGCCGGGGGGGGGCGCACGCGGAGGCCGGCCGGGATTGCGCTTTGAGTCGGGCGCGTCCCCTCGGGCCGAACGAACGGGGGGGGGGGGTGTAGAGGGAAAGGGGGGGGCTACGAAATCTGCTGCGTGAAGCCGGTTTCGGCCCCGCCGCCGGGCCCATCCCCTCTGGAGCCAAAGGAAAGGGGGGGGATAGAGGGGAAGGGGAGGTCACGAAGTCTGCTGCGTGCAGCCGGTTTCGGTCCCGCCGCCGGGCCCATTCCTTGATACACGGGCGCGTCCCGGCGCCGGGAGGCGCCCGGAAAAGCAGCTACGCGAGCTGATTTTCCCCCCCCTCCCCCTTTGCTATCCCCTCCTTTCGGGGGGGGGGGGGGCCTGCCGAGGCCAGCCCGGACTGCGTTTGAGTCGGGCGCGTCCCTCTGCAGGAGGGAGATTCCAAACAGTATTGTTCGGACGCCCGAAATGGGTACGGAAAGAATGGGTACAATACCCAACAGCAGCTCCTGTTCATTTTGAGCAGGGCTCGCTGTCGGCGCGCCGCGGCCTGTGTACATTTGAAACAGAAGGCCGCCTGCCCAACAGCGGCCGCTGTTGGTTTGGGACAACATGTGTTGTTGGGCATTGTACCAATTTTTCCGTACCCATTTCGGGCGTCCAAACAGGCCTTTTGCAGGTGGGAGATTCGGAAACAGTATTTTAAAGATAGTCTGGGGGCGATGTTTGGTTTGTTTCTCATTGTTCTTAACAATGTTTCGACAAGGCTTCGCTTCTCTTCCACAATCCGCCTGTAGGGGGACATGCCCGACCTAAGACTACGTGCCTGGCGGGAGCTGTCTGCGCGCAGCCCGAAGCTCGACCAGGGGATCGACTGCAGAACTGATCTACCCCGGGCCTGATTTTTCCCGTCGGATCTACGAGAAGTGCGCAGGATGCTCCGTAGATCTCGGAGCATCCTACGCGTTTCTTGCAGATCCGATGGAAAAATCAATGTTGGGGTAAATCAGTTCTGTAGTCGATCCCCGACTCGAGAAGCTTCACCAGCGGGGGGAGGCGGGGGGGATGCAGGGAGCCACCCGCATGCAATCGGTTGGAGCTGGGCAGGCCCTCCAGCGAGCAAGGCCGGCGGTGCCTTCCAGGCGTCGGCGCCCCGAGCACCACGAGCCCCAGGCGACATGGACCAGGAACGACGGGCCGCCTCGCCCGCCGTGCTGCCGACGGCCAAAGTCTTGACATCGCCCAATCGGACAGGGAGGGGTCGTCTGGATTCACATGCGGGGGGGGGGCCAGAGGACACGCGCCCCCTCCGCTCGTGCCCTGCAGAGCTGCTGCAGCGTGGCACCGCAGATCTGGACTGCCCCTCGTCGCAGCTCCTGTTGCGGCCCTCATCCCGCCCTTGCAGGAGCGAGGGTGCGGCAGAGGGCGAGGGCGAGCATGCGAATGAGATTGCGGAGAGGAGGAGGAGGAGGAGGAGGAGGAGGAGGAGGAGGAGGAGGAGGAGGAGGGAGGAGGAGGAGGAGGGAGGAGGAGGGAGGAGGAGGAGGAGGAGGAGGAGGAGGAGGAGGAGGAGGTGAGGAGGAGGAGGAGGAGGAGGAGGAGGAGGAGTTGGAGGAGGAGGAGGAGGAGGAGGAGGAGGAGGAGGAGTTGGAGGTGGAGCGTTCCTGGCGGTGCGACCGCGCGCGCGTTGGCGAGCCCGAGGTCGCAGCTTCTTGATGTGTGCGTTTACCACATGCAGCAGGTGTACGCCGAAATCGCGTCCACTGAGGCCCTCACCTACCTCCATGGCGCTGCATGGGAGGAGGAGGAGTAGGATGAGGAGACGGAGGAAGAGGAGGCCTTTGGCAGTAGAGGCTCTCTGTCTTCGTCTCTGTCTCTGTCTGTCTGCCTGCCTCTATCTCTCTCTCTCTCTCGCTCTTTCTCGTTCTATCTCTCACATTCACTCCTAGCGCTCCGTCAGAGAGCTAGAAACCTGTACAATAACACGGCTTGTGCCGCCATTCGGCCTGAAGGAAGCCCCTTGATCTCACAATGGGTGGGCCCTCTACGCTGTTGTTGGCCGTCGCTGCGGTCAAGCAGGGTCTAGACTACTTGTGCCAACGCGCTGAGGCAGGGCCAACTGCACCGCCCCGCACTCCGGTCTCCTCTGCAAGTGCCTTTGCGGGGGCGACCACACCAAGCAGAGAAAAATCAAGGCTGGCACCTCTGCCGACCAATTGTTTCTGTGCAGATGATGCAACCAAGAAGAAGAGAATTGGGAGCACACCATCTGGAAACGCCCGTGTTGGAAATCTGGAACGACAGCCTTGAAAATCTTGATCACCGAACAGCACTGGCGAGACCTGCAACCGCACACCAGTTAGTGTGGCCTTTTTGGTGAAGACCCCAGTTCCTTGATCTCCACGTTGCCCTTGCCGAGGACGAACTCTCGCAGCCCATTCCGCGGGCGACACCAGAGGGCCCTGGCGACGACATCCACGAGTAGTGCGCCGATGACGCCGGAGCCCAGTGGGTGCACGCAGCCACTGACGGGGCCTGTTCGCCCCAGGCCCACCCGCTCCTTGACAGGGCTGGCTTCGGAGAGTATGATGGCCAGACTACCAGCTATACCACTCTGCTCGGATGCACGGTCTGGTACAGTCCACCCAGAGGGCTGAGGCCCTGGCCATGCTGCAACTCGTCGCCACGGCTGAAAGGCCCGTTCGCATTATCGTTGGCAACCAAAATGTCGTCGACGGTTTCGAAGACCTCATCAGCGCTAAGCCACCGCAGCGCGTGGGTGCCCAGGCCGACCGTTGGCAAAATCTCCACCGTGTCCTCCAGGTCAAACCAGATTTGTTCACAGCCCAGAAGGTTGAAAACCACCTTGGTGAGCAATGGGTCACCGAGGGGCGTATCACGCAAATTGCGCAGGCTTTCGACCGCCACGCAGATGAACTTGCCAGGGTTGGCGCACGCCTGCACAGCGTACAACAAGGCCTCCTCGACGCTGCTAAATGGCGACGTAACTTCGCGGCCGTCCTTCACAGCATGGCTGTCGGTGTGCATGATCAGCGTCACCAGACGCTTGTCCTGCTAGACAGGAGGGCGGGTTATTCAAAGGCCGAACACAGCAAGATGAAGTCCAACCCTCCCATCACTGGTAGTCCCAAGGCGGCACTGACCATCTCGACGGCTTGCCAGGGCCCGGCTTCTTTGATCACTTGGAAGACCCATTGGGGCGGCATCTTTGGCGGCTTCGACTGCAAGGAGCAAAATCCGCTCGGGCTTGGCACCGCCCTGAATGAAGACGAGGGTACCCCTCCCTAAGTCACAGCAGAGACGGCCACAACGATCACCGTGATCAGCGTAACACGAGCCAGCCAAGACCAGGTTCTAGTCGCCCACGGTCGACCAGACCAGGCCGTCACCACCAGTACCGATCACCACCAGGGCAGCTCCCCTTCCCACCAGGGTACGCTGAGCAGCGAACAGCCAGCGACCGCCATCAGAACAGGGCGCGGCGTGACGGGGACCCAGCGAAAAGACCGTAGGCAATCTCCCACGCAGCAACTCTCCGCGGGCAGTCGGCATCCAAAGGGCGACCGCGGTACTTTCTTAATCGCCAGCGTCCACGCAGTGCGCCAGCGGGCCACTCACTTCGCCCCACTGCTTGACAGGTTCCACCGAGCGCAAGCTGCTGGGGACGGCCTCCAGCAGGCTTTCCGTCCTACCGTTTCCTTCGGGGCGTCCCCCAGAACAGCCTCCAGGCTCTCCTTGCTGTTCAACTCGTGGCACACCAGTGCCAGCGCCCCTCCCCTCCCAATGGGCTCCGCGAAAAGCTGGCTCCTGTTTTGTTGCCCTCTTATTGGGCCGCCGCGGGGGTTGCCCCAAGGTGGCGCTGCCACTGCCTAGGCGCCGAATCGCGCATGCCAAGCGCGTGCACAACAGGCGTCTCTCCGTCCGTGGGCTTGCAGAGGGGGCGCGTCTTGCTCTTACCACCACTTCACGTCTTTGCTTTGCAGTCGGGGCCTTCACGGACCACGCCAGCCCACCCCTTCTCGCACAAGCGGCACTTCCCGCCGCATGGGCTGGGCGCGGCGGGCGCCGGTAGCCCGCGCGCCCAGACGGACACTTCGCCCGAATGGTTGCGATCTCTCTCTCGCTCTCTCTCCCTCTCTCTCTTTCTCTCTCTCTCTCTCGCTCTCTCGCTCTCACTTTCTCTCTCTCTCTCTCTCTCTTTCTCTCTATCTCTCTTTCCCTCCATGATATGTCCTCAACCTCTTATCCCTCCGCCTCCTGCCAGCTCCAGTGGGGATGGCCGATCCTCCTTTCTTATTCCATCTTGCAATCATGTTCGCTCTGGCCCTGTCTGTCCATGTTCCTTCGGGCCTCCTCCATCCGCGTTCCTCCGTGTTCCCCGCCCCGTGCTCTTCCACCCCTCCTAGCTCCTCCCTCCACTCTCGCGCCTCGTCCCCTCACCCGTCCTCCTTTCCTCGTCCCTCTTCCGTCCTGGCTCCTTCCCTCCTGCGCCCTGCCTCCTCCCGCCCCCTCCTCCCGCTGCATTTGTGCCGCGTCCCCCCCCCCCCCCCTTCCTTTTCCCACTCCCGCCCTCCCTCCGACCACCCCCTTGCCACGCCATGTCAGCAAAGAGGGCCCCCCTGCCTCTCCAAGAAGAGCCACGAGAGCTGCCATAGCACAGCACGGTATAGCTAGCCTTGTCAGCGCATATCACAGTATGGTGTTGCATGCCATAGCATTGCATTCCACAGCAGTGTCTAGCTTAGCTGAGCTTAGCACTGCACGTCATGACGTAACATTGCCTAGCATGGCATCGTATATCATGACACACCGTGGCGTACTATGGCATCCCAGTGCACATAAATCAATCGAACAGCACTGTACCGCTCTGCGCAACATTAAATAGAACCCATGCGAATATCACACCCCCGTTGTTGTTTTTATCGTCGCCCTGTTTATTCGAACCTTGCATTGCATTGCGTAGCCTAGCATTCCGTGTCTGTGCATACCACGTTACGCGGTAGCATCACTCCTCGTAGGACACGTGGCATGGCATGGTTCAGCGTATCGTCCCGCATACGATCAGATCAATTCACATCACAGCATGGCATGGCATGCGATGCGCACTGCTAGAGTATATCATATTATTTCATTGCATACTGCATCGTGCCATTGCACATATAGCGTAACATGGTGTATCATGGTATTTCAGAGCATAGTGCAACATGGCGCTGTAGAGTTGCAGTGTTCCTGTCCCGTAGCTTGGCGACATATCGCCGGTCGACTGGTCGATGAGAGCGGAGGAGGAGGAGGTATGAGGAAGAGGCCGGAGGAAACAAATAATGTTGACCTGATTATTCATGATTGCCTTGTTGCTCCCAATGCGGTCAGCACTCGAGCAGCTAGAACCTAAGCGCGCGCGAAGCGCGCACGTTGTTCTAGTATACATATCTTTATATATACATATATATATATATATGAGTAGGCGGGGGGGGGGTCGGGCCAGTGCCGTACTCCCCCATGGCCCATGGGGTGATTGGGGGGGCCCCAGGTCTCCCAGGACTGCCCGGACCCGCTCCCAAACACGCCACGACACGCCAAGAGGGCTTTCTTTTTTGTGTATACATATATATATATATATACACGAGACTGCAGTGGCGCTTCGCGCCATGCACCTTGGTCCTTGAAGATTGGTATGCAGGCGGAAATGGCAGGAAGGTCAAGCGGACAATTTAGCGATAATTCCTTGCTGCCTTTTCTGGCATCGCCATTATAATAATGTTGTTCGTTATCCTTCCTCCATGCTTGCTGTCCCTCATTCTCGCCATACCCTGGGCATTCTCCTCATCCTCCTCAGCTCTTTTTGCGGAGGCTCCTCTTTGGAGAGCTTCCGGGGGCCTCACCAAAGTTCTCAGGCTTTCTTAAAGCCTTCTGGAGGCCTCCTGGGCGTGTTCTGGGGGCCTCTGGGGCTTCCTAAGGCCAACCTGCCTCTAACCGCGGATTTGGAATGCTTCGGAGGGTGTCTTGGGGCCATCTTGGGCCGCCAGCCATGGGGCTCTCTTAGGGCCATGTTGGGCCCCTGTTGAGCCGTTTTGGGGTTCTCTTGGACTGCCTGGAAACACTTTCGGATGGTTGTGGGGCGATTTTGGAGCCTCCCAGGCGACTTCGGACGCCCAGAAGACCGCTGTCTTGAAGCGTGGGGAAGCCGAAAAGAGGAGAACCCCAAATTCACCAAAAACTTATATTAAATCAATCATTATTCCCTCTTGGGGCCTTCTTGGGGGTGCTCTTGGAGGCCTCTTGGTACGTTTTGGAACGATCTTTCGGGGTATGACGGCTTCTTGGAGCGCTCTTGTGCTGTCTTGGGGTTCTTTGGGACGTCTCCGATGACCCCCCTGATCGCCCTAGGTGTGCTGCGAAGGCTTGGCAAAACGCCCTGCGAGGCCCTGGGGGCCGCTTCGAGGCCCGTCCGAAGCCCCAGATCCCGGGAGTCCGGTTTTGGGGGGGGAGGGGGGAGCCGGGTTTTCCCCCCGCCCAGGCTTGTCAAAATATAGGAAGAGGAATCTATAGATCGACGACGCCGGCGGCGCATCACCGGCCGTCCCCTGGGAGTTTGTCGAAGTGGTGCGCAGCGTCGAACGTCGTGACGCGGCGCGTATGCCAGCTATCGAAGACGCCTACGGCGAATCACCGCCGCCCCCTGCCTTTGTGGAAGCGCCTATGTGGCCGAACGTTGAGGCCAGACCTGCCAAGCCATCGGACCATGTG